GGCAAATTCGGCCTCCCATCGCCGATTGGGTACCTAATGCTAATTCGCCGGGGGGGGGCACTTGCCCAGGCTTGCCCCCCCTGTCTCCGCCCCTGCAACAAACCCTTACCGCGTTAACTTCTGAGACTGAGACGATGAGTATTGTTGAAAAAACAATTAGGAATAAAATATTCTAACAAGTGTTAGCGTCTTCTAAATGATTCTTGATTTTCTCTTTTTATGACTCTGTTCTTCATTGTCAATATTTGTAGTTGTAAAGTTGTTTTTGTTGGTGCTTGAAAAGAAGGATGCAGACCTTTTTATGTTACTATGATGTTGCAATGAAAACTGAAGGTGTTAATGAGGATTAACTATAGTAGGCTACCATAGCCCACCCCATCCGCATAAACCTCTACAGCTACCATAGCCCACCCCACCTGCTGTTCACCCAGTCCACTCAACAATCCACCCTTCCATTAATCATCATTTGGCATTTAAATGTCAAATGGTGAATAAAGAGGAATGGGGGGTCAATGGTAACTTGTGGTGGGGGTTTATTAGGTGAATGAAGAGGATTTGATAGATTGAATTAAGTATAAATATATAAACATCATATTTTCTTGAGTGCTGAAGAAATTTTTGCAGTTTAGCCCAACAACACTGACTCTTGATTCGGGAGTTACACAACCTCCTCTTTTAAGTGAGGCTCATCTTCTATGTTGTATAGATAAGGTAAAATGTTTTAGTTTTACGTTAAAAGGTGACACATCGAGTTGTTTCATGTGATTGTTTTTAGTTGCCTGAATATTTAGTTCTTCACATTGTTTTATGTTTATTCTTCATTTTGATAGGCAGGAATTGGTACGGATGCAACAATGCATGATCCCATAAAGAAATTGCTTGATCGATTTTATGCGACGAAAGACGCAAACACTCGTTTCTCACCTACGAAAGTTGTAAGCTTCTCATATCTAGTATTGGTTTGTCTCTTATCTGCGCTTCATGTTTTTACAATTCATGACTAACTATGATGTATGATTAGAAGTCATTTTTCTGTCATACCACATTCATATGTCATATTAATCATTTCCCTTCCTAAATTACACTTGGAGGGATTATGATGTCATCAAGCTCTCTGAAAATCTACAACTGAAATTTGGGGAATATATCAGATTATCAGCAGGCTCTTTTATGCAAGAGGCTCCTCTAACAGTAGTTGCCTGGTGCTATCAACCTGTTTTGTCATTAAATAATGATAGGGTATATTTGGGCTGAGAATGCAATTTTGGTTGTTACCTTTTCCCTTATTGAGTTGTGGATTGTCAACCATAAGTGGCAAGGCCGGTTTCATATAATTTGGGTCTTGACTATCAATTTACCACTCATGTCTATTTTTTGTTGTCATTTTATTGTTCCATTTGGATCCTTATAGTATAGCAACACGTAATTTGGTTGTTTTTTTAGCTATTTAAGTGTTCTTGTGTGTGTGTGTGTGTGTGTGTGATGATCATTATGCGTTTTGCAGAGGGAAGCACTGGTAATGGGATATGATGATATGGGGTGGTTAGAATACAAGTATTTCCTCTTTTCAAGTTCATTACTAAATTATCATACTATGTAAAAAAGAGAAACATGACTTCATAAGTGTTGACACAATGAGTAGCAATTATAAACTGTTGTGGTACAACATTGTCAACTATCCATTCTATCATATTACTCATATGGTCTTGTATGAAATAGTCTAGTGTCTTGCATCTTGCTTGTCTTTTTAACACTTTTTTGAAGACTTCTTTTATTGCAGTTGGGCACTTCTTTGCAGAAGGTGAAGTTTCATTTATTGGGTACAATTGGAAAGTTTCATTTATGCTAAATAATTACGGTCGTGGAAGAGTATGACTCGACTTTTTCCTTTCAGTTAAGAACTGGGAAAACCATATCTGCGTGCAGCAATGGAACGTCATATGAAAGAAGTTAGCAGCGATGGAACGTGAAGGGAAAGAACAGAGGTTTTGGAGACCTGTTTGCAGCAAATGGAGTCTTGCTTGCTTTATAGATGCAAGTCAATGCCTGATGATATGTTATTGATATTCTTGCCCCAGCATTTGTTAACATCTTCCATTCTACTTTGTCAAATTTATTGTTTCTCAATGGCTACCCAATGCCCTGTAATTCTTGTCATATTGCCTTTGGATATGTGAAGATTTATGGAAACAAAATTTCTTTTCATCATTAGATGATGAAAACAACATTAGTGCACACATTTTAGATAATAAAAAATTATCGTATGGCATTAGTTTTTACTCATATTTCAATGCTAGATGGAAAATCACCAAAAGATCCAATCTTTGTTTTAAAAATATGGTTATATTCCTGTATTGAAAGTAAACGTATTTTGTATTTTTGTAATTTTCATTTTCAAATGTTGTATTATTATTTGAACGAATTAAATTGAAAGTAATTTTTGTCAATCATCATAAAACAGGGCTTCATTATTTCTGAAATTAAATTGAAAAGTTTTGAAATGGAGAAAAGTATCTCATACTTCTTAGAATTAAATAAAATAAATAAGAAAATGTAAAAAATATATGAAAGGAAAACAATGTTCAATTGTTCATAGATGAGAGAATTCTACCGAGTCACATAATCACTCATTTATATAATTATATTTCAACATTCCTAAAAATTCATAAAATCAAACAAACCAATTTAAATGGAAGGCAGAGAGAGGTATATACTATATACTCCCTAAATATTTTAAGGCGAAACATGTGATACCAATACTATGTTTGGTTTAAGAAACTTGAAAGAAAAGAAAAGAAAATTATTATCCAACTTTTTCCTCACCAAAACAGGGGCGGAATTTTATTTTTTTTTTCTCTTAGTACATTTTGCCTTTTTCATTATTTTTCTCTTCTATTTTTCTTTTCTTTTCTTCTCTAACCAAATATGAAAAATGTTTTCTTTCTCATTTTCTTCTCTCTCAATTTCTTTGAACCAAAAATAATGTAAATAGTTTATTTGAGTTGATAAATAGTTTTAATTGCTATTAAGTTACACTATATTTGGTTCAAGGACTTTGAAAAGAAAAAAAGGAAAATGAGATGGAAATAAAATTTTCTTGTATGGTTGGAGAAGAAAAGAAAAAAGAAAAAAAGAAAATGAGAAGAAAAAATATACTAAAAAAAGAAAAAACTTAGTTATTCTCATTTTGATGAAGAAATTGAGAGAAATCATATTTTTTTTTTCTTTTTATTTTATATTCCTTGAATCAAACATGATGTTAATGTCATTTGAATTCATTTAACTCATAAAAAACATACTCCCTTCGTCCCCAATTTGATTACAAATTGCGGGTTACGGAGTAAAATTTTCTACTTTTTGAAATCATTTTATTTACAAATTGGTATATTGATAAGCTATAAAAATTACATATTAAAAACTACGTCAAAAGTTCTACAAAACAAGAGGTGACAAGAATATTTTATTTTATCAAATACTTGATGAAATCGCGTAAACAAACAAAAGTTATCGAGAGGAGAGAGAAAAAAGATTGTAATCTATTTAGGGACGGAGGGAGTATATACTTGTAATTGTGAATGACATTGTGGTCAATTGAAATTGATCTCCCAAATAAGAAGTCAATAAGATACTCTCTTCATTTCTATTTAACTGTCTATTTCAGTTTACGTGTCAAGCACTTGATAAACTATATATATAAAATTTTTTTAAAAAATGTGTTAAATTATTGGTATCAAAATTACTTTAAATGTATTATATTTTTTACTAATATATTTTAGAAATATTTTTAGTCAAATTTTAAATTTAAAAAAAAAACAAACCAGAAACATAAATAGCAATATAGAGAATACTCCCTCCGTCCCAAATTATTTGTCACATTTCTATTACCGAAGCAAAATATCAAGTTTTTTCAATTCATTTTATTTACATATTGGTAAAAAATACTCCCTTCGTCTCTGAGTGTTTGTCCACTTTCATTTTTGCACACCATCCAATTCACTTCTTTAATCCATTTTATCTTGTAATTTGTATATTAAAATATTATAAAAATCATATATTACTCCCTCCGTCCTAAAACTTTCTTCTCATAGCACTATTCCAACTTCACGGGAATTGATATTTATTTGTGATTTTTCATGGTCTATATGATAAAATAAAATATTCTTGTCACCACTTGTATTGTTGAACTTTTGATGTAGTTTTTAAATATGTATGTTTTATTTTTAATTTTATACCAATATTTAAATAAAATAGATTGAAAAAACTTGGGATTTTTCTTCGTTTTAGGACGGAGGGAGTAATAATCTATATGTTAAGACGAATCAAACAAGATCAAACATCACTATTTTTAGGCTTACACATTGAGAGAATTTGATGAGTCAAAGTGTTTAAATGAACAGTTCCAAAAGTCAAAAGTGGACAAACACTCAGGGACGGACCAAGTTAAAATTAAAAATTACATATAAAAAAACTACATGAAAAGTTCTTCGAAATAAGTGTTATCAAGGATATTTTATTTTATCAAATAAACAATGAAAACATAGAAATAAATAAAAATTCCCATGAATATTAAAAAAACAAATGTAACAAATAATTTGAGACAGCGGGAGTATATCTTAAAAGAAATTCCATTATTTGGTTCAATTGTCTTTAAAGACTAAAGTGAAGGGTGGAGTGTGATTTAAATGAAGGTATATTCGTGCTTCGTCCCTGTTTGTTTAATGATGTATAACTCCGTACTGTATGTACACTGTACACTCACTCCATTGCCTTTATCACCCCACCCTTTCCCAAGCTTGACTGTCAGGACGCTAAAGATATTTCAGCTTTCACTCCTCACTCCATTGCCACAGATTTCTCATCTCCTTTTCCACATTCTGCTCTAAAAATGCCCAATCTCCGGTGGGGTTTCTTTCATCTCTTCCTTCTTCATCTAGCCTCCAATGGTAACCAGTAACCGCTAATCTCCTCGCTTTTCTTTGTTTCTTTTATTTTTGTTTACCCATGGGTTTAACTGTAAGTTTTTTGACCATTTTCCAGTGTCTGCTCTTCGTGAACCGGCAGTGGGAGTCCTGACTATCGTTCCAGATTCAAGTCCGGCGGCTCTGCAGGCCTTTTCCGGCACCGGCGTCCCTGTAGCAGTTGCCGTTCCGGCGGAGAGCCTCAGTGCGGTGTCAAAAAGCGTTCTTGAGGCTGAAAAATGGGTCAGAGCCCATGTTCTTGCTCACTATCCGGCCACCAACATCGCCGCCGTCGTTTCCGGCCACAGTTTCCCCTGTCGGGAATCCGAACGGCTGGCTGAACGGATTTTACCGTCGATGAAGAACATTCGCCACTCCCTCACGAGGTGGGGTTTGGAAGGCGAAATCAAAGTCTCCACTTTTCTCTCCGAAAACTGCGTCCCCCCGGCATCAGACGTCGTCCCTGTTCTCGAGTATCTCCGGCGAACAAACTCGCCGTACTCCGTCGACCCATCCTCCGACCTACCCATTTCAGAATCCATCAAGAATCTTGGGTTTCCCAACCTAACCAAGATCCATCTCACCACCGAGATTCAAAACCACAAACCCACAAGCAGAAAGCTCTCATTCTATCCCTTCACAGATCCAGTCCACCTCCCGCCGCTGGTCGGAACAGTAACTCCGCCGCCGTTGTCTCTCCCAATCCCCCCTTCAGCGGCGCCATACGGGCCGCACTTGCCACCCTGCAGCCCATCCGGGGGAGTACCCAGTCCAGCTCCGGCACACGAACAGCTATGGTGCGTGGCAAAGCCCAATGTGCCACCGGAGACACTGAAAGAGGCTCTGGACTATGCTTGCGGGGAAGGAGGGGCGGACTGTGAGGAGATTAAACCGCAGGGAAGATGCTATTACCCAAACACCATTGTAGCCCATGCTTCATATGCCTTCAACAGCTATTGGCAGATAAGCAAGAGACTTGGTGGGACTTGTGGGTTTGAAGGAACTGCCATGCTCATCAACTCTGATCCAAGTAAACTCTCCCTCTTCTTCCAAAGATGCAATCTTTTTTACACTAGTTGTGGTTTCAACAGTAATTTCCCCAAAACATATTTTATTGCAGACTCAAATGTGCATATAGGGCAAAGATATGGTTGTTTGACTGCAAAATGAACTCATGTATAATTGCAGGTTATCGCCATTGTCGGTTCACTATTGCTTAGGGTATGGAAGGAGGAATTGAGGTCAGGAATTCAAGACAAATGCCTAAGGAGATGAGAAGGAAGAAGAAGATGTTTGATGGGTCCCTCTCTATTGGATGCCATGTATGAATTCTATCGTATGTACGAGATATTTTGGTATATTCTTATATGTTTCGAGGAATTCATATCGTTTTTGCTAGAATTATGTTACGAGTAATTCATGTCGCTGCAATTTTTTAAATCACAATACTTTTGCAATTTAAGAATCTCTCTGCTCTTTAACATTGGGGCTCAAAAGAATGCAAAAGAATGAAGAACCTAAGACAGTAACACATGTGGTGTTAGTATGGCAAATGATTTGAATGAAGAATATTTGGTCCTATGCAATATTTTTATGCCTGAAAAGTTGCCCATATTGGAACGGGGTTGGCTCTGATTTGTTGCCCATATTTTTTGTGGACCTCTCTAATGTATTACCACACTTGGGCCTCCTCACCAAAACCTGATCCATGTTGGTGCTTTTAGTGTTATCGACAATTTTGTATAGTTGAGTTTACTTATATCAGACAAGAATTTGAATAGACATTGTCAAACGAGTTAGGAGGTGCGGAGTGCGCACTTGTTCAACGCATAATGGGGGTCCAGGGGCGGCAGCCCCTGGGTAGCAGGGTCCAAGAGGCAGAGACCCTGGCCGGAATTCAAAATATTAGAAAATCCTGGACGTCGGATAAAGACCAATTATTGACCAAACTCTACGAACGTTTGCATCCAAAAATTGAAAATCTGCATTTATCCCTACAACGCGAAAGTTTGCAAAATTTCACGCAAAAGATCATGTTTGATCGTCGATTTTCATCTCAATAAACAGAAACGCTCGGGTATGGTTGAAGAGACGATTCTATAGGCTTGTTCTTGATTAACGTTTTATCCGATCGAATCATTTCGTATACTCCAAAGTCCAAAATACCTTTGATCTGAAAACGTTCTACATGATTCGTGATACTCTATCAAGTTGTTTTTCTCGTTCTTTGTTAACGCTGCGTTCTTCCTCCATACTATTTTCCTACAATCCAGACTACCTTCTGCACCATTGCTCACTACAAGGGATTTTCTATTCACACTGAGCAGCTTAACTTTTTCTTTTGCTGCTTCTAGAGCGCCCATCTTCTCCTTCTCTAGCTTAGTAGGTAGCTTCCTCCATGCTCTTACGATGATGATTCTTACATTTTCTTCCTCTTTTCCAAACGGTGAATCGGCTTCACTAAAACCTTGTAAAGTGCAAGAATCATCGTCATCAATGGAGGAACCGGCCGTGGAGTGGATGGATGCCTGCTGATAATTGTACGTCACTGGGTTGGTTTAATTTTCTCAAAGCTGGTGGGTGGGACCCTTTAGTTGTGGAGCTTGATTGCAACATGTGTGGATGGTATGGTATAGCTGCTACTGAGCTTGATTCAATTCCCCACACACGGGGCATTATTGTCTTTCCTGTTGAAAAACGACAAAAGTATAGCAGTAGTTGTATTCTGTATATATAGCAGGGGCGGACCCAGAAGTTTCATATTGTGGGGTCGTGTTTGTAAGATGTTTAATGAACACACAATGTGAATTGAAAATAAATAATTTTATAATGAGATGATGGAGTAATTCATAAAATTAAGGATTATATTTATTGGAAAAATATTAAGGTGAATTGAAAATAAATAATTGTATTACAATGTGAATATAAATTATAACTTATACGAAGTAACCAGTAGCATCAACTTTTTATATTTTAAGATTATATTATAATAATATTATCAGTAATGGTAATAAATATGGGTTTCCCTCCTCTGTCCCAAACTTAATTAAATTATTTCTATACTGACAAACTTTCCTTTGCTTATATGTTTTCGTTGGCTATTTAATAAAATAAAATATTCTCGTTACATCTTATTTTATAAAAAAAATTACATATTTTTTATTATGTAAATTATACTTTCTCTATCTCAGAATATTCATATAATATGATTTTTTTTGTATCAAATTGGATAAACTTTTATTTTAATACTAATTTGTAAATAAAGTATATGTAAAAATTATTGATGTTCTACTTGTTTTTAAAAAGCCAAATCAATTATGGAAGAAAATGAATATGAGTAGACAATAAAAGAATGAAACAAAAAAAGCAATTAAAAAGTAGCGAACAAAAAAAAAAGAAAAAGAAGAAGGAAAGCGAAAAAGTGAAATATTTCGGTCTTCACATGGAGGCTCGAACTAAAGACAAATTATATGAGTACCTAGGCGATAACCACTCCGCCAATCCGTCGAAATACTCTTGCATGTGTTTCTGTAACAATATATAATATGTATACACCTAAATACATATATACAAATATTTTAAAAATTACAAAATTTCCGTGGGGTCGTGTGACCCCATGTGATCCTATGTGGGTCCGCCCCTGGTTAATAGCATAGGTGCTTCCGTAATTTACAAAAAGGGTGTCAAAATCTCCCTTGGTTTTTAAAAATTATTTGTAAAGTTCTTATGGTTTTTAAATAGAGTACACATACCTCTTTTACCTATTTTAAAAGAAAAAAATGACATTTATGCCCTTTCTTTCATCAATCTTTCATGATGTATTTTTGAAAATAAAAGATTTTTTTGGAGAATGTTACAAAATAAAATCAAAAAATAAAATATTATGTACAAAGTAAAAATAATAATTGAAAAAGGGTAATGAAAAGAAAGAAAAATATAAAAAATAGTGTTTTTATTTAACTCCATATTTTATTTTATCTTTCTGTTCTTAATTTTTAAAGTCCTTAAAAAAATTATTTTTCTTTTAAAAACAAATAAGTTATAATTTTTAATTAGATATAGAGTGAGTATATGTTATCTAATTTTTTATTTTATTTATTTTACTTTTACTTACAATGAAAAAGGGTATTTTATTTCATTTTTTAATTTTTCATCTTTTTGTAACATTTTCTAAAAAAATTGGATATTAAATAAATGAAAAATTTTAATTTGAGAAAGAGGGCATATATTTATTTTATTTATTTGTATAACAAAAAATACAAATAAAAGAGTGAAACTTGAAAATAGAGAAAAAACAAAGGGCAGAAATGTCATTTGATGTCTAAATATAGGCGAGAGGGGGGCATCTATGCACTATTTTAAAATCGCATGAATTTTACAAATAACTTTTAAAACTAGAGGGATTTTGACGTTTCTTTTGTAAATCACCTACGGGGCACCCATGCTATTACCCCTTTAAAATAAAGGAAGTTCCTTGCTAGTTGCTACATTCATCAAATGTCTTTGCGAGAAGAATAATAGTGATATGATGCCTCATTCTCTTCCTCCATGCGGTATTTTCAAAATGTTAAAGTTAATCCAAGCTTAAGTTAATGAGACGTATGCCGAACATGATCATTTAACTCACAAAGTATGTATTTGGGTTGGATTATAAAATCTTTCCTAAACCTATATTTATAAGTTTATTTTGAAAAAGTAAGATGTGATATGTAGATTATTAGTAAAAAGGTATGATGCGATAGATATGGTATGAAAAAGTAAGGGGTAAAAGGGGTTTTTTAAGGAAAAAGAGAAGTTTATTTAGGTACAAAGAAAAAAACGAAAGGGAAAGTTTATTTAGGGACGGAGGGAGTATGTTTTAGTCTTATTAAATACAAATTTCACATAAAATAAACCTTCCTAACAAATAGAGAGTTTACCTAATAAAACTCCTACCAAATATAGATTTCTATTTTTCCAGAAGATTAGCCAACACATTGAAACTAACACTTGTAATGTGGCTTGCACAAGGAGTTCATCAACTCGTGATTAGAGTGCGAATAGGTGAAAAGATTACAAAGGTTTCATGTGATGATCGTCTTTCATCATTCTTGACAAGAATCAAACACTCTTATCACATTCCATTTGTATTGTTTGCAATATGTGCCATGGGGGCAATAGCTTGTTCAAGCGATATAAGTGGGTAAGGCGTATATGGACACTTCTTTTGGATGTGAAGTGGATGTAAAAGAGATTGAATTGATAGCTTCTTTGCAGCTGGAAGCCATTTTGTTCATTACGGACCACTAACTCTTTTCACCTTTTTTTTTTTGGATTTGTGCGTTACCATATGGAAAATAACACGTACGGCCTAACCAAATTTACCAATGTTATATCTTCTACCGATCGAGATCAGATCATCTATGGCACAACCCTAGCTATCTCGTCAACTTCTCAGCAGCTAACGTATCTATCATTAAAAATTAACGTATCTATTAAGTGGGATCTATGTCTTGTACATATGATCCTATATTGAGAAAGTCATTATTTCTTACGGAGTAATTCTATTTAAGTAAATTCCTCTTTTTTTTAGTGAAATTTGCATTAAATAGGATTAAAACATAAGTCATTTCCCAATGTAGGACTTAATTTTTTTTTATTCTCTAAATAGTACTTAATAATGTCTAGTGGAGGAATAATAATGTCCAGTATAGTAGATATTTACTTGAAAAATGACTAAAGGATAATGATTACTGCATTGAAAAATAAAAACATATGGTACTATATTGAGAAAGTCCTTATCTTTTATTTTATTTAGGTAAATTCTCCCTTATTTTTTTCAATGATTTTATTAACAAATTGGTATAAAAATAAGACTTAAATAAGTAAAAATTACATCAAAAATTTTGTAAAACAAATAGTGCAAGAATATTTTATTTTATTAAGTGACTAATAAAAACACACACAAACAAAGATTATTAAACACTCTTGAATAATAAATAGGAAGGGTTACGAAAATAGTATATTAATTACTCCCTCCCTCCGCTCCCACAAAACATTACTCATTTTGATATATTTTTGGTCAAACGGTTACACACTTTGATCATAAATTAAATATAATCTAAATAAAAAAATATTATAAAAATTTGATATATCAAAATTGGATCATAAGATGAATCCAATTATATTAAATTTATATAATAATTCAATATATTTTTCTCACAATTTGTAGTCGAAGCGCATAACTATTTGACCAAATACTATTCAAAATGAGTAATGTTTTGTAGCATGGAGTGAGTATTATATTTCTCTCAAAAGAAGAGAGAATATTATTAGGAAAATGCTTAAGAGGCACCACAGGTGCCTCCAAGTATGCCACCCTATTTATTTAAATTTTATATTTTTTTTTAAATTTTCTTAGACTTTTCGTCTTCCAACTGAACAAATTCCCAATTCTCTCTCCATTCTCCCGATTCAACCTCCCCAAGCTCCCCATTCCCAAATTCCCAAATTTTCCCAATTCCTAATTCCCAAATTGTCCGCTCAACCTCCAGCGACCTGTCCCCATCCCTCCACCTCCAGCGTCGGCCCCTCCACCTCCAACGACGTAATCGCCGGAAAACTCCCCAACCCTCCACCTCCAGCGACTTGTCCACACCCATCCACCTCCAGCGCCGGCAGCCCCGGCCCAACCCTCCACCTCCAGCTCCGACAGCCACATAATTTGGGTATTGTTTTCTTTCAAAAATCAAAATTGCCCTCAAACAATGCTCGTAGTGTTAAATTATTGCACGTGCATATGAAAGCTATTTATTGTCATAAATTCCTTTCTCCTATGATAGTGTCTTCTTTTTTTCTCTTTAACCAGCCCTGCAGTGGTAGCAAAATCTGTGGCACTTGCTTGTTATTTTTGCTTACTTTGTGAATTGTATGGCATAGATGGCTAAGTTCTGTTATTTGAACTTCATATAACATTATTGTCTGTGAAAGACGTCTGCTTGTTATTTTTGCTTACTTTCTTTGAATTGTATGTCATAGACGATTAACTTCTGTTTATTGAACTTCATATATGATTATTGTCTGTGTAAATATTTAACTTATGTTAATTGAACTTCATTTCAGACGATGTCTTCGCACGGTTAATAGTGTGTGTCCAAATAGTTTGGAGAAGAAATGGGAAACAATTGTTGTCAATTGTATTCCGCAACAGGACTCTAGGTTTGTTCGCCATTACTTCGTTATGCTACTCCCATGGACGGGTGAAAATCATACCCCCCCTACTTATTTTAATACTATTTTCCCTTGCAGGTATGGCAATTGTGGAGTGATGGTGCTTGCATTTCTAGAGTCTTTGTTGGTTGGCTTACCATTAAGTCCAGACTGTAGTTCTCAACACATGGCTGATTTCCGATGTCAATTTGCAGCTAGGTTATGGTGTGGAAGGAAAACAACCAATATTTAGTTTTTTTACTTTACAATTTTAGGGGTCTTTGATTTTTGTGAAACTCTTTGTAATTGTTTTTGTGCTTTGTAATGTATTTTTTGGGGAAACACTTTACATTTTTTTGAAACCTTTGTAATGGGGCTTTTATCATAATGAATTTCTACTTGTTAATGCACAATTTGTTGCTGTGTGTGATGACTGATTTACCTTAGTTTATGACTCGATTACAAATTTACTTTCAGAGCCCTCACAGAGAATAACTGTCTATTTTACCCGTTACACAGAGTTTTAATGTATGTGACGACAGAGTTACATAATATTATGCACATACACCATCTTTAGAATCTTATCACCATCTTCATAACATTATGCACATACACCATCTTCTAGCTTTCGTAAAACTCAAGTCATGTTATGCACTTCAGATTTTTTTGATTTTTTTTGTAATGGGGCTTTTATCATCATGAATTTCTACTTGATAATGTACAATCTGTTACTGTGTGTGATGAATGACACACCTTAGTTTATGACTGAATTACAGATTTACTTTCAGATCCCTCCCAGAGATTAACTCTCTATTTTACCCATTACACATAGCTTTAATGTATGTGACGACAGAGTTACTTAACGTTATGCACATACACCATCTTCAGAATCTCATCACATATGTGGGGGTCTTGTATAGCTAAAAACAAAGTTAAAACACATACATTAGATTTTTTGGTGCTCACATGGAATAACTGTCTATGCCACAGACTTCACAGAGACTTAATGTATGTGAAGATAGAGTTACATCAGGTTTACATCAGTTTATGTGCATAGAACTCAGAGAAAGTTATAATATTTGTTACATACTTTACACAAAAAGCAAAAAGCAAACTTCATCCCCACTTCAGGACATCATTGTTAATGCCATCCGTGTTCTGTCCAATCTCACCACTCGTCTGTTCTTGCCTTTCGTCGTTAACTAAATACTGAAAGCAAGGATCTTTAAGAAACAAATCTGGTTCAAAAGCTGCAAAAAAACATTACCTTTAATATAATACAATGCCTGACTATGAAGAAAACAAATATACACCAAATGCAGAGTGCATACAGATTATTATCATCTGTGACAAGGATAAACCCTAGGTTCACAGAACTTTAATCTCTGTAACACCAAAACAAAACAATTTTTTCCACTACATCAAATGAACATACAATGGGATCTAAATATCAACACTTACAACTGGGCTGCAACTCAAGAACACGGAGAAGGGTTGGTCAGGGAAGGCCGGTGACGGAGCAAGGGTGGGNTGGTCGGCCGCGAAGGAAGAGGCTGGGTCGCCACTCCAATTTGCAATTTGTGTGTCCGATCGATGAAGAATCGATCTGATCTGCAATTTGCAATTTTCAATTTATGGATATCTGAATTTGATATGAAGAGGAAGATAAGAAAAAAAAGATATTACCTTCCTTGTATGAAGGAGAACGCAGAAGGGAGAGGAGGTCGTGCGCGGCTGACTGGCGTAGAAGAGCAGAGCCGGAGAGAGGAACGAAAAAAAAAGAAAAAGTAAAAAAAACATCTTAAATAGGGAGGCAGCAATGGAGGCAGGGGTGGGTGCACTGTAGCACAGTCCATATTATTAAGCTCGCGCCGAGTTTAAGTATTTTCAATTCAAACTAGGCTCGAAGGCATGCATCATTTAAGTTGGGATGCGTAGGCAAACTTTATGGTAGACTTAAAGATCATCATGGACCCACATATGACTAAAATAAGTAAATCATTACTACATAGATGAGCATTTTTAAAAATAATTTTAAAAAAATTATGTAAAAAAATCTACAAAAATGATATACACGAGTATATCTAATATTCACCGAAGAAGCACTCATGATGGAAATACAAGAAAAAAGGATAAGGCTCATCTACATGGCCGCAGCGCTCCCTCATACCTAGGATAAACGTTTTGTGAGATATGAGAAATTAAGTTTTGATCACAAATTGATATAATGGAAAAAAATGATGAGGGGTCTGTTTGAGAGTAACGTTAGAGATTAAAATTAACGTTTTGGATAAAAATTTAATGGTGCAGATTACTTTAAAAATACTAACGCTAAACACTATCCATAGACAATATTTTTAAATGATAACGCTAATCTCAAACACTATTATTGTCAAAGATGTCCGAGATATTAGAGAGGATGGCAAATGTAAGTGAGATGGAAGGGATGGGGGGAGTAGCCCTACAAGAATAGAAGCAGAGTGGATGGATAAGATCGCCACGGCGAAGGGTGATTTGACAATGCAAGCCCTCCTCCGATCTCCCCGCCGCCGGGGACACCACATTTTGCCACTTCCCATTATCACCTTCTTTTGGACACATCTTACCTTATTTTGCCCCCACATTTACTCCACCATAATTAGGGACGACTACCATTTGGAATTGTTTGGATTTGAAACTTTCAAATTAACCTCTTCAAAAATTGTGCAGATTTTCCCCGGCCCGTGCTTTAAAAAATCATATTAATGGTTCTTAAACTTTTAAAAACATTGTGTCTAATTTTTTCATTCCAAATTTGAGAGTGTGTTAATCGCACACTCGCATGTAGAAGTATGGATTCATCTAAATTCATACCTCTTCCATCTTTGAAAACACGGGAGATTTTTTACTTATAAGGGATTTAGCAATTCAACTTGCTTTGGCATGTCGTATATATTGTCTCTTCATTCACTCCGTCCGTTGTTAATGCAAAAAACTAAAGGGGCGAGGAGGAATATTATTATCTTTACTATAGTGGAAAAACAAAAAAAAAAAAGAAAAAGAAAAATGAACGGCAGATGGAGCGAGCCATTTGCATGCGCGCGGTGACACGGAGCCGTTCTTTGCCCAATACTTTGGAATCTAACAAACCAAACCAAACCCCCTTTTTTTGAGTTTGATGAGTACGTAAATATATACTCTATTCTAATTCTATTCCCTTTTTTATTTTATGGATGAACCACACACCTGGACGCCACTAGAATGATTATGAGACATTTGAGCTCAATCAAACTAAAAGATATAAATTTATTTAGCGATCAACTCAGGTTTTAATTCAATAACGTTCTGTATTTTTAATTCTCGATAGATTTATATACATATACATATATATATATATATATATATATATATATATATATATGTAGACAACGGATGTAATCTGATGTGGCGCTAAGTAACACAAATGAATGGCGAGACGGTCGTGACCCACACCGCATACACTCTTATAAGAAAAGATTGATGGATTATCATTAGAGCATTCGATCTTGTGTTGAATGAATTTCTTTGGTGACGACGATTTACCCATAAAGTAAGAGTTATTCTCTCATTGTACGTACTCTCTCCTTTTTGATTCGTTTTAAAATAATTATCTCATTTTTTACTTTTTTAATAAAGTAAAAATATGCATATGGTTCACAATCTTCCGTTTTCTAATTATCAAGTTTTAATTATTTTTTTTTAATATTTGTAAAATCTCGAGTAAATTGGCATGTAATGTCATTGTGACTTGTCGAAGTGGTAAGCTATTCCACCTATATGCGTTTTCTTTTCTCCCCGGTGCTTTTGTAAAGTTGCTTAAAGGTGAAAAATCATGTTAACATCACTTGATGGGGTCTTCTTACGTATTATTGTCTCAAATTCCTTTAGATAGGCCCAATTGGATTATTCAGTTTGATTTAAATTATTTTTATTTTAAATTGAAAACTGATACAAATTTTAATATCGTAAAGATGTACAGTGTATAATAAAATAACTTGTAGAATAAAAGTAGAAAGAAATACACCACTTTGTAGAGCAAACACAAATACAAGTGTTTTTGTGCTCATACAAACATAAAAATTGGGAAAAATTGATATAAATACTCCCAGAAATTCGAAATTTTACAATAATACTCCCAAATTTAATAAAAGACTCTGGTGCTCCCAATTAAACTATAAGTTTACATCACTACTCCCATTATGCCTAATCAGCTTTTCTTACGCTTAGATGTAAGTAATTATGCTTAGTTGACATCTTAGTTGTTTTTTTTAATAAGAGGGAAAAATTATATAAATACTCCCTGAAATTCAAAATTTTACAATAATACTCTCAAAACCAAATAAAGACTCCAGTACTCTAAAAAATATTTTCCTTTTACGTGTTACGATGTTTCATAAAAGTGGTGTGAAACCAAAAAAATAAAATTATATATCTAAAAACTACATCATAAGATTTATAAAACTAGTAATGATATAATTATATTATTTTATCAAGTATATAATTAAAATAGGTAAGCAAAGTAAATAAAATTTGATCTTGTTAATATTCTTAACAGTAAATGAGAAGATAATTTTTGGACGGAGGGGGTATTTTGTATTAAAATATAAAAAAATAACTACGATGCCAATTAAGCTCAATTAATTAATCTGTAATATTACTAAAAGAATTATTTTTACATATTACTATATTAGTTTTTTAATATGTAATTTTTATTTTTAAATTTTACACCTTTTTTCATATAAAATACTTTAAAAATAATATCAGTCAAATATCGTAACGTGCAACGAGAATATATTTTTGGGAGAACTGGAGTCTTTATTTGATTTTGGGAGTATTATTGTAAAATTTTGAATTTCTATGAGTATCTATATAAATTTTTCCTCTTATGAAAACAAAAAAACAACTAAGATGCCAACTTAGCTTAATTAATTACATAAAAACATAGGAAAAGCTGATAAGGCTTAATGGGAGTAGTGACGTAAACCTATAATTTAATTGGGAACACCAGAGTCTTTAATTAATTTTGGGAGTATTATTGTAAACTTTCAAATTTCTGGGAGTATTTATATCAATTTTTCCTAAAAATTGGTGTTTATTTTTTGAGTGCAAAAGTGATGTATGTGCTCTTATCATGACTGACCAAATAAACACAACAATCCGGTGGGCATTGCACAATTTACCAAAGTAGTTCACGAAAAAATTCTTTGAGTTAATTCTTATAAATTCTACTGGAAAACAATTATGTTAAACACAGAATTTTTGACTTTTTGTAAATATATATACTAGATTTATGTTCCATCTTTTATCACCAATATGTGATTAAAGTTTAATTTATCTCTTCTTAATTATGTGATTGTCTAGCCTGTTCTAAGGAGACTTTAGAAATGGGGTTCATCCTTTCAAATAAACACGCATGAAGAAAAGTTTGTGAGATTTGTATTTTTTTCAAATATCTTTCTTTAATTCTCTCCAAGTTCATCTCATCCAAACACGGAATAAATGATTGAATTTGTGATATAGGGTTACCATACAGATACTTCCTTTCCTAAAAAAACTTCCTTCTTCTTAAAAAAGACTAACAATTAGTTCAACTTTATGTATATTTTTTCGTTGACTATTTGATAAAATAACATAATATTGTCACCACTTGTTACGTATGTAGAATTTTTTATATAATTTTTTAATATATAATTTATATTTTTTAATTCTAGACCAATTTTACTTATATTGATAAAAAAAATAGGTTTAGCCAAGCATTATAAATTGAAGGAAAACCTTGTTTTGAGACAGAAAAAATACTCCGTAGACACTTTATATATGGAGTATTAAAAATCAAAATACGTGAAGCTCACTCTTCCAGTCCTCCTTACCACATTTCTCTATATATAGATTATAGACCCCTCATTTCGTTACAAACCAAAAAGTCTTCTCCACTATTCCTTCTCCATTTTCCATTTTATTTTATGCTTCCCAATTTCTTGTCTCCCCAATACGTACCCTAATCCACTTCAAATCCTTGACTAGTTCGCGTTTGGGTGTGACGGAAAAGTAACTAATTACTCCGGCGTCTATGTGAAATTACCATAAAAATCCCAGTAATTATGAGCTGCAATGGCTGCCGAGTCCTTCGAAAGGGATGCAGCGATAACTGTATTCTTAGAGCCTGCTTGCAGTGGATCGAATGCGCCGAAGCCCAGGGCCACGCCACCCTCTTCGTCGCCAAGTTTTTCGGCCGCGCCGGTCTCATGTCTTTCATCTCCGCCGTACCGGAAAACCAGAGACCCTGTCAGTATTTTACTCCCTCCGTTTGAAAAAAGTGTTCCTCTTTTGACTTTGCGTAAAAATAAGGAAGTATTAAATTGTAGTTGATTTTCAATTTTGCCCTTGATGTGATAGGTAAAAGTAAGATGTGATGGATAGATTATTAGAGATAAAGTATGATGTGATAGGTAGGGTATGAAAAAGTAAGGAAAAAAGGGATTTTTTAATAGAAAGCAGAAGTGTTTTGTTGGAAGGGAAAAATATGAAAAAGCAAGTATAAGTGTTTTTGATAAGGGAGTGAGTACCTTTTAATTGTTGATGAATATAACAATGAAAAGTTAATTTTAAATATTTTATCAAATAAGTTTTGAAAACAATTAATTACTCGGTGTGTTTTTGCAGCTCTGTTCCAATCTTTGCTGTACGAAGCGGTGGGAAGGACGGTGAACCCGGTGAACGGAGCGGTGGGGTTATTATGGAGCGGGAACTGGCACGTGTGTCAAACGGCCGTGGAAACCGTCCTCCACGGTGGCGCGTTGGAGCCGATCCCGGAGATAGTTGGCAGCACGGCGGAGGTTGGAGAGGCCTCGGGGTGCACCGACACATCGAAGGGTCGAGATCTTAGTCGAAACGCCGCCGCACGTCCGAACAAAATCCAGAAACGACGCCGTTTCACAGATGGACGGCAATCGGGTGACCTCCGGCTGGCCGATCTTAATCTCGGCTTACACCTGCAGGGTCGTCACCAGACCTTCAATTCGAAGGGGCATAACAGTACTAGCCCGTTGCCGGAGAGACGGCGGCCGGAGACTCCGTCGATGAACTCCGAGGAGTCTGTGACGACCGCTTGTTTCGACGGCCATTCTGGCGGTGCAGGGGATCATTACGGAGGAGGAGAACCCAAACTTTTAAACTTGTTCATCAATTAATTCATGAATTAATTTTATGTTTTTTTTAATGTTTTTTTTTTTGTGTTCAGGGAGTTTTGGAAAAAAACATTTGGCGCAGGATTCCCTTTAATTTTTTTATTCTGCCAAAATAAAATATGGCAGTGGAGAAAATGAAAGGGAAAATGAAAGTATGCCAATAATATGCCCTGAATTGATCGGTTGAATCAGAACGGTTGAGAATGAATAAAAGTCAGTGCTTTTGCTTTTATCTTAGCATTTGTGGGTTGGGTAAAACAATATGAAAGAAGAAAGAAAAAAGGAAAATGCTAGGGGTACACTAAAAGTGTACCTCAAACATCCCCACCCCTTCCATCACCACACAAAAAAAGCAAGAAAAATTCAAAAAAAAATTAAAATTAAAAACAAAATAAAATGAATGGTAAAATGAGGGGTGATGTACATTTGGGTACACCAAAGCATATCCCAAGAAAAAATAGTCCATCCATTTCTAAAATGATATTCTCACTTACTATCTATGTAGTCAAATTTTAATTATGTTTTACTTATTTTGTTAGTTATTTGATAAAATAATATAGTTTTATCACATTTTTTTATAGAATTTTAGATGTCGTTTTTTAATATATAAATTTTAATTTTATATTTTACACCTACAATCAAATAAGTTAAATTGAAATAACATCGATCTAATTTTAAAAACAGATCGAAAAGAATGTTTTAGAATAGAAGTAGTAGTTAATTTTCCTTTGCACGGAACCGAAATTTAGAAAAAGTTAAATTACATAATTGATAGTGATTATAGAAGAAAGAGAAAATAGGCGAGTCACAAATATCTTTCCAAAAAAGAGTAAATCTCCATATAACGAGAGAGTGAACATTAACATTAGCAACACGAGAAATAAAAGAAATTATACAGAATTAAAATCCAATATCAATGACTTGCATTCCAAAATAATAGACCCAAAATAAAATGGAGCCGAACAAATATTTTCGCAGATAGTTGTAACCATCTACAAGCAATCTGAAAACACGAAAGCATAGGGAATCCCCTCTTTCTTAAGTCATGAAAGTGTCTCGTACAAACACCTCCGCCAAAGGGAGATTTAAAGGACATGATAACACCTTGTTGAAAGTTGCAAGAAAAAATCTACTCGGATTCCACGTTATACATTTTGTGGCCACCTTCCCCAAGTGCAGGAACATAGAAGCAATAATGTACACCCAGACTCTGTGACTAGCCTGATCTACTCCCTTATTTTCCAAGGTCATTGACCAACCAGCCAAGCTATATGTCGTAGCAATCATTTCAGCCAAACTCTACCTCTGTGTCGTATAGCTTTCTCAAGCCCAAATTACTACAACGAAAGGTGTCGACACCCAAAGTTTTCAAAGAGTTGAATTTCGAGCTTTCGAGATGGCCAAGAGCCCCTCCACAATTTTTGAAATTCTTGTGGTCAAGTGCCCGAAGAGAAACAAACTTGACGCCTTTCTTCAAGTCTACAAATGGGTAAGCGGCACCCCATCAACATTTAGTATTCTCCAAACAGATTTTGTAAAGTGGCAAAATATAAAGATGAGCCCTATCGACTTCATACTAGCATCACAAATCAGACAAGCAGTCACAACCTCGACTCTCATACAAAACAATGCTCATGTAGTTGGGAGAATGCATGCCAGACTCTCCAACCGCAAACTGTTACCTTAGGGTCCACACCTAGACGCCATAATATTTTCTAATAAGAAAATTCAATGAGGATTTGAGCCTCTCGAAGTGTAGTTCTATCTTTTTCTGATTTAAGCTTGGGATTGGTTCTAAAATTTCTTCAAAGCACAATGATAGACACATGTCATCAAGGTGGATTCAATTCAAATTTTAGTATATTAAAACTCGACCTACTTAGTTTGAGTTTGTATTTGATTTATGCTGAGAAGCTTTATTGACTTTTTCTATTTGGATTCAGATTTTGGTTTGGTGGGGATTCAAATTTAGGTAAGGTCAGGACAATAAATGTTGGAAGCCTTAGAAGTTAGAATTATAAATAACCACCTTAGATGTTTAAGATTTTGATGAGATTTAGTGTTTGATCATAAGATTAGTATCTGCAAAGATCTTTGAGGATGGAGGGAGTAAAATTTAATTTTAACCATGCATATTTTTACTATTCATTTGATAAAAAAATACTCTTGTCATATCTTGTTTTTTTAGATATTTTATCTAATTTTTAAATGTGTAAATTTTATTTTATTTAATTCCATAACCATTTTCAACTAAATTGAGTTGGAAATAATTTTATATAATGAAAAAATTGTACTCTTTTTTTATAACTAAATAAAAGAAAATAGTACGTATTTCAAAATTGATTTTGGAAAAGGATGGTGTACTAAAATTCGAAAAGAAGGGGGGTTACATGCTGAGGTAGATTCGCCTCAGCTTTACATGGCAAGGTACATGGGCCATGTTTTCGGATTGGCCCAGAGCAGCAACCACATGGTTATCCAATCTTATCCAATTCCAATCCGCTGAATAACTGCGCAGTTTGGTGGCGTGTGATCCGCAGAATACGCTATACCCTCCCCTCCTCCGTACGTACTCCTCTCTCAATTATTTTCAAATTTTTGGGGAAGATAGCAAAATAATACTCTCTACGTTTCTAAAATATTGTTATAGTTTGATTTTTTTTGTTTGAATGTTGACATCTTTTAATTACGAATTAAATATAATTTAAAATAATTAAATATTATAAAAATTTGATATTTCCAAACATTATTTTAAAATAAACTCAATGTTTAGAGACGAAAGAAGTAATCCGTAACTAATAGATAATCTTTTAGCGAGGGAGTAAATACAGTTTTTGGTTGGCTTATTATCCCTATATTTCGGCCCGCCTATCGCACTCTCATCCAGTTTGTATAAGTAGGTGTGGCTTTATATTTATATATATATATATATATATATATATATATATATATATATATATATATATATATATATATATATATATATATATATATATATATATATATATATATATATTGGGACAAAACTTTCAATGGGGGATACTTCTGCAAGTTCAATTTTGCCGATGGGCCCGTAGGTCTTATCACAAATAAGAGACCCTCTGGTTGGTGGAACTAACGGATACGGCACTTAGATTGGAGAAGAATGTGTAAGTTCTTGGGGGCTGCAGCGGATAACAACAAACACAAGCTATGCAAACAAAACAATTAACTATGTTGTAGAGGAGATGCTGCAGCACTGTCCAGTAACAGATGACGGGCAGTGTGCTATAACACTTCTCTGTCACAAGCACACACGCAAAATATGAAGTAAAAACAGTAAGCAAGACACCAGAATTGTTCACGCAGTTCGGAGCAAATTCTCCTACGTCTGCAAGGCCCACGTCCGTGTAATAGCCCTTACACTAAATCACCGTAAGAATTACACAATCAATCACAACAGAACCTTCTAATGTACTGATTTGTCTACTTACGA